CTATGGGAAGGAGGGATGAAGTAGAATGGGTGAGTAACTTAATGAAAGGAAAGAGTCCCAAAGCAGATATATATAGAACTTTCTAGGCTGGTAATGTATACCATATTTGAATTGAAAGGAATCCATGTGTTTTCAAAGGCACACAAAGACGACCTGAAGTTTAGTTAGACAAGTTATCCAAGAGGTGTTTCAAAAGAGTAATAACAATAGGAAATTGACTGCATTGTTAGAAACTATGAACTTGTATCCCTAAATATTTTCTCTTGTTCTAGATGTAGCAGATGAAGCAACCTAAGTTTATCTTTTAGCTAGTTGTAGTGTTTCTATTTCATCAACTATGTTTTTATTTTGTTCTTGTTTGAGCTGTATGGTTTTACTTTCGTAACAAAATCAATAGTTACAAAAAAAACCCAGGTAGTATGGTTTACCTTAAACTCCTCCCAGTAGAAGTCCTTAATCTCTGGTGTAACTGACTTCCAATCATGTCCTTCAGGATCCAATTTTTCCTTAAAGATTTTTGTGATCGCCCGAGATACATTGTTACTTGGCTCCAAACTTGTATATATATATAACAAGTAATTATTTCAATACTCAATTTTATTTATAAACATCAAGCAGTGTCTAGAGTGTATTATCAGTTTCTTTAGCGACAATATAAGATCTTAAAGAGGTCGAGGCAGTAAGGAAGAAACATATGACACATATGAAAGTGTTATCAAAGAGACAAGGATTAGATATAAATTATAAAATCCTGTCATTATCATATCTTGAAATGACTAGCTGGGAGGAGCCGATACTGAGCTCGGATTCAATACATGATTCAGATCTAAGCTTAATCTAGAACAAGTAAAAAAAAGTTCTAGTATGAAATCTAATGATATACTGCAAAGATAAGAAAAACTTCAGGGAATGAGGATTGTTGATATCAAAGAAATGTCACACCATACACACCAATAAAAACAAAGTAAACAATAAATTTGCCACACAATCTGAACATGTAGGTCAAGAGCAAAAGTTCTGGGGAACTGCACATGGGGAATTTTGTTGCCCCGTTCTATAAATTCCTTACCATATGATGTTGCCACATTCAACTATTGCTTCTTATATAAGAGAAGTGTAGACATTAGTGAACAAGCTACTTTCTTCAAGAATGATTTTTTGGATTGATTTAAAAACACCTCAATTTGTAATTCATTCCCCACTAATGCAATTTAAGAAAATCAACAGAACTTGTAAACATTTATAAAAAAAAAGTATGGAAGAAAATCAACATATCTTATTTTCTTGCATGTAGAAAAACAATGTAAACGAAACAATATTGTACACTTACCGTCCCATGACGATTTCAATTGGGATGCGGGTACCATCAGTTGTATTTGACAAAGTTGTGGATACAATGTCATTCCTTGGTATTTCGATCCCCACAGATGAAGATGGTCCCGATATGTTGACTACAACTGAATCTGGCGTAACTGGTGTTGGCAGTTCAGGCAATGATGATGCTTGATCACGTGCGAAACTCGACATTAGAGGAGATGCCACTGGATCTTCTGTCCTTTTTCCAGAATATCTACAACGTCCACCCCCCCTAGGTGCCATATCTGCAATTTCAAAGTTAAATGTGGATGAAGTAATATCATAATGATTGAATCATGATTGATCTAATTATAACAAGAATAGATAGTTAGTTGATATATCACTTCAAGAACAAGATCCCTCTGAAATTTAAGAAAAAAACGTGTTAATCTAGTTAGCAGATAAATATATAAACACTTCTATAAATAAAATAATCTCATCACTATTCCAAACATAGATCTAGAATCATACTTGGAATAGTTGTTCAAACAAAACAACCAGGAGAACTATTAAAACAAAGTAAGTATACTGGTAAAAGAGACGAAATAAAAAATCAACTTATATACTACATTTTAGTAACTCTAAC